TTTATCAAGATACCTTTGCATTTTAGGTCTATCCTCCAAAGTGTTTACCACTTCCCATAGCTTTGTGTCATCCGCAAATTTAATCAATATGCTCTCTGTTCCTACATCCAGGTAATTAATAAAGATGTTAAATAACACTGGACCCAGAACAGATCCCTATGGACCCCACTTGAGACCTCCTTCTAATCTGACATCATTCCATTAATATTACTCTTTGTTTGTGGCTATTTAACAAACTATGTATCCACTTAAGGGTAGTTCTACTGAGTCCACATTTCTCCAGCTTACTTATGAGAATGTCATGTGGGACTGTGTCAAAAGCCTTGCAAATTCCAGGTATATTATGTCCACCGCATTCCGTTATGCATCACAGGCTTTTTCCCCTCCCAAATCTCTTGAACACTTGTAACCCTGCCCCCAACTTCAGCCTCCCCTATAGCAGTGGCTCTCAACCTTTCCAGACTACTGTACCCCTTTCAGGAGTCTGATTTGTCTTGTGTACCCCCAAGTTTCACCTCATTTAAAAACTACTTGCTTATAAAATCAGACATAAAAATACAAAACTGCCACTGCACTCTATTATTGAAAAATAGCTTATGTTCTCATTTTCATATAATTATAAAATAAATCACTGGAATATAAATATTTTACTTACATTTCAGTGTATAGTATATAGAGCAGTACAGTAACTCCTCACTTAAAGTCGTCCCAGTTAACGTTGTTTCGTTGTTACTTTGCTGATCAATTAGGGAACATGCTTGTTTAAAGTTGTGCAATGCTCCCTTCTAACGTCGTTTGGCAGCCGCCTGCTTTGTCCACTGCTTGCAGGAAGAGCAGCCCATTGCAGCTAGCTGGTGGGGGCTTGGAACCAGGGTGGACCAGCAGCCCCACTATCAGCTCCCCACTCCCCTAAGTTCCCTGTGCAGCAGCCGCCCAGCAGGCTATCAATTGCCAGCCGTCCAGCTGTCCCTCCCTCCACTGCCATGTGCTGCTCCTGCCCTCTGCCTCGGAGCTGCTCCCAGGAGCCTCCTGCTTGCTGTGCGGAGGGGGCTAATGTCAGGGTGTCCCGTTCCCCCTTGCTCCTGCACCCTGCTTACCCCATCTCCATAGAGCAGGGGACACACACGACAGGGCTCAAGATGGAGGGAGCTTCATGGCAGCAGATGTGGTCTCAGCTTGCTGATTAACTTAACAAGGCAGTGTTAAGGGTAGTGAGGCAGCGTACTTAAAGGGGAAATGGGCATTCCTCTCTCTCTCTCTCTCTCTCTCTCTTTCTCTCTCTCTCTCACACACACACACACACACAGTGTGTATGTCGCTGTCTGCCATGCTGTCTCCCCTCCCTCCATTCCTGCTGCCTTGTAGAGTGTGAGGCGACATTAACAATGAGTTAACCTTTGAGGGTTCAGCCAAGTGCTAGTTCATCATTTAGCAGTAAGGCATTCCCTGGGAAATATCCCACCCTCTAACTTCACTACCTCATCCAAGCTTCACGATCATCATTGCTGTGTACAGTATTAAATTATTTGTTTAAAACTTATACTGTATGTGTGTGTGTGTATATATATATAGTCTTTTGTCTGGCAAAAAAAAATTTCCCTGGAACCAACCCCCCCCCCATTTACATTAATTCTTATGTGGAAATTGGATTAGCTTAACATCGTTTCGCTTAAAGTCGCATTTTTCAGGAACATAACTAATGAGGCGTTACTGTATAAACAAGTCATTATCTGTATGATATTTTAGTTTGTACTGACTTCACTGGTGCTTGTTATGTAGCTTGTTGTAAAACTAGGCAAATATCTAGACGAGTTGATGTACCCCCTGGAAGACCTCTGAGTACTCCCCAGAGATACACGTACTCCTGATTGAGAACCACTGCTCTGTAGAAACCCCCACAGCTGCACCTGCCCTAGTAGCTGAATCACATCACATTCCCACCCCAGGACGTACGCTGTCTCCCTTCCAGCCCTGTACAGTCCTCAGATTAAAGGGAGATGTCTGTGAGATGAAACTGTGATTAAAATTTCCATTATATTGGAAAGTTGCTCTACATATTATAGTCCTGCAGACACAGATGGTTGTGCAGGTAGAGAGAGACATGCTGACAGGAATTAAAGAAGTTAATTCTAATCAGGCTTCCAATCATGCACACAAAAATGACAGTCACCTTTAAATGTTGTTTTATTTTAACTTACATATTTCTCATTTATCTGTGACGGGGTTTGAAAAATAAAACTGCATATAAAGTTTGTTATGATGACACATTCCAGGACAGTAATAAAGGTTTTACATCTGTATATTATTCACATAGGGCTAGATTTCACCATTTAGACACTGCCCAGAGGAGGGGGCAGTGCAGAGGCACACTGCCCCCATGGACCCCACCATGATAATTCCCTCACCACGATCACTTGAACTACTACATGCCTTCAAGGAATGCACTTTACTCTCCTTGCTGCACTGACTTCTCTGTGGGAGAGCATGGAGCCAGTGCAGGTCTATGGTATTTTCCAGAGTGGACTGTGTCTTGACCTTAGCAGGGCTGAGGCAGACTCAGGAGGAGCCCAGCTCTTTCTATTTTGATAAAAGCAAAGGAAGAGCTTCTCTTCCTTGATTTGAGAAATCTGCTGCCCCAGAGATTCCCCTCTTCCCTGGTGGTAAGGGGAGGACTCAAGTGAAAACACCTGGAGGCACTGGGCCTAGGTGAGATGTCTCTGGGGCTCTCAGCCTTCTCAACAACTGGAGCAGCAGCACCCCCTGAAAGGCGATTGCATCCCACTGAAGAAGTTGCCTTCTTTTGGAAATGAACACGTTGTATATATTTTTTTTCCTTGCTGCATGCAATCACCTTGTGCTGATGCAACTCTGCATCTCAACTACATTAACAGTGAGTCCTCTTAGGAGTCACTGGGATTGATGAATTCCTTCTCCTATTTTCACCTACTTCAGCCACCAGGTGAGAGGAGGGCATTTTGGCCCTCAACTTCCACCTCTGTGAAAGTGCCAGGCACACCCTGGCCCATATCTAGTGGAATCTTACTTATGACTATTGAGAGAGAGAGTGTTTAAAAAAAACATAGTTTCAATAACGAACAGGAATGCTATGGTATCATAATATTGAAATACTAATAATTCTCTTTGAAAAGCCATGCATTTTAATGGATTGCCATCTGTTCAACACTTTACCGAGAAATAGATTTGTCCTGTTAATGCAAACAATATTGGGATGAAACTACACATTACACAGTAGATTTCTAAGCACTTTGGACAAACACGTATTCTCCTTCTTTCTGCATGCCAGTACTTTATTTCAGTAATAAATTCATTTTGTTCTTTCTTTTGTCTGAATATCTTATTAAAACAACCCACCTAATGCACAGTAAAGTTGTGATGGGACCACAACAGCTGCTATGCCCTCAATTAGGTTCCAGCAAAGTAACCCTAGTGTCCTCTAAATTAAAATCTCAAACTGAGTTCATCAGGTTTCTTTTCCATTGAATTTACAGCAGGAAGCTCTGTGCCTCTTGTTTCGAGTCCATCTTAATCTTCTAGAAAGAGTATTTTTAAAACCAAGGCACTGGCCTAAATCATTCTCTACAAAGTAAAGGATTTACAAATTGCTCAGCGGCTCAGACACACAGGATGCAGATTAAAAAAAATTGACCTAACACTTAAGAGTCCTATCCAGGGAGCTTGTTTGATTTCATAACTAAGAAAAAGCCAAACAAATAATAAATCAAGTTATTTTCCCCTCTGTAATAACCAAATATTTCTGGGTACCTTATTAGGATTACAAATGTACTTTCAACGGTATCAGTTTAGAAATCATTTCTTATTGTCGCCTAATCAGGTTGGGTTGGGAGATCTAATTTTACAGCCTTGTGGCAGAAGTTTAAATTTAGCATAGTCTCAAGCTTTCTGCACCCCCTCTTTATCTCTTTTGTAATGGACTGTACAAAGAGAAGGATAAAAAGGTGCTGTTGTCACAGTCTCGAGGGTGGAAAAAATTTATCAGTGTTGTCGTCAATGCCAGGGGCAACTAGGTGTCTTCAGGAATATAGCTGTCTTCTATATGGAAGCAGTATTAATTATAGCAAATATGGCAAATTGCAGCTCCCTCCCATTCTCCTTTACTCCCCCAAATTCAGATTTTTCGCATGGCTGACTTTCCTTTGCTTATGTCTGAGCCCTTTTCTTAGAGGAGTTAGCTATGGAGGAAAGTGAAGCTACCACAAAGCTAATAACTAGAAATGCATCTATATGCCAAGCAGCAACTCTGCCACTATACTTGAGATGCCAGTATAGGGACATACTCAAAATCAATGCACTAGAGATGCTAGTAGGGCAAGATGCTGTACCAGATAGCAAGTTAGCAGAGAAAAGCGAGTGCAGAAAAGATGCAAAGCAAGATCGTAGAGCTACATAGAGAGATTAATACACTACATAGAGAGTGCAATACACTAGCCAGCACTACCCTAGATTTGTAATATACAATCCCCTTCCCCCTGGTACTGTGGGGATCCATGCCCTGGCTATCTCCTCAGGATGCCAGCCCTACCCCAGCCTCCAAAACGCTTCTCCTCCTCGAAGAAAGTTTGGTCTCTTTGCTTTCCTCCCTCCCTCCCCTTTCACCTTACAGCCACCTGCAGTCCGAACTGCCCTGGGGGGCAGCGTCCCCCCCAGTCCCGCAGCCTGCCCACTGCCCTGTTCTCCGGCAACAGGCTCCAAGCATGCAGGTGCAGCTTCAGCAGCCAGCACAGGTACGGCCAGGGGGCTCCTGCGGCTTTGGGGGCCCCTCCCCAGGACCAGGGTGGGATACAGGCAGGGGCAACTCCGCGGCAGCCAGAAGCAGCAGGATGTGCCGGGGATGCGTCTCCAGGGGACACCAGCCTCTTCTCTGCAGCCTACTGTGGTGACTCCCCGCACCCAGGGGCGCCTGAAGTCCCTGCCTGAGCCGCTGCCCTGGAGCGGGCTAGGGGCGCAGCAGCTGCGCTTACCTCTGTCCAGTGTGAGCGGCTGGACCGCTGTCAGCGTCGCCATGTCTGCGGCTGCAGCGGGAGTGACGCTGGGCTCCAGGAGCGGCGTGCAGGGAGACGAGGCGGAGGAGGAGACAGGGAGGTGGGCGGCGCTGGGGAGGAGGCTCCGGCGGGGAAGGGACAGGGGCGAGCAGTTGGCCGGGGATGCTGCTCTGTGGCGCGGAGGAGCGCTAGCCACATGTAGGCAGGCGGGGCTAACTCCGCGCTGGCCGGGCGCCAGGGAGGTGCGTGAGCCGCCGCTGGCTCCCCCGGGCGCCCTGCCTGTGGCTTCCAGATGCGCGCAGCGCCGCCTGGCGTGGGCCGCGTCCTCCGGCCGGCCTGGGGCTCTCCGGCGGGGGCCGGTGCCTGCGGGGAGCCCACCGGGACCTTCCCTAGCTTTATCATAGAATATCAGGGTTGGAAGGGCCCTCAGGAGGTCATCTAGTCCAACCCCCTGCTCAAAGCAGGACCAGTCCCCAGTTTTTGCCCCAGATCCCTAAATGGCCCCCTCAAGGATTGAACTCACATGAGCAGGCCAATGCTCAAACCACTGAGCTATCATTGCATTGCACAGCCTGGGCATGGGGAGCCCCGGAGGAAACAGCGACTTGCTGGAGATGTGGCAATGGCGGGGGAGTGGGAGCCAGGTTCCAGCCCCCGGGAGGGAAGAAACGCCAACTGCAGCCGGGGCTAAGGGGTGGGGGAGGCGGCAGCAGCTTCCAGCTGCTGCCCGAAATGTAGCCTTCCTCTTCTGCCACCCTCTGACGTCAGCAACGAAGTGTGTGGGGGGGCTGTTGGGCAAGGACTCTGCAGCTGGTTGTCCTGCGTCTGTGGGGGGAGGCCAAGGGGTGGGGAGAGTGTGACTGGGTGTGAACTTCGTGTGTCTGCAAAAAGAAAAGGAGTACTTGTGGCACCTTAGAGACTAACCAATTTATTTGAGCATAAGCTTTCGTGAGCTACAGCTCACTTCATCGGATGCGAAAGCTTATGCTCAAATAGGTTAGTCTCTAAGGTGCCACCAGTCCTCCTTTTCTTTTTGCGAATACAGACTAACGCGGCTGCTACTCTGAAACCCTTCGTGTGTCTGGTTTGTTTAAAAAAGCGGATCGTCCTACCCTCTGTCCCGCAGAGAAGGAGGAGATAGGTTGCTACAGAGGCAGGGAAGGGGTGTATTTTTTTAACGGGTACTTGTGTGGCTTCAGCACCATCCTTATCTGTAAAATGGGGAACTAAGGCACAGAGAATAACATGCTGAAGGTCACATGGAGGTTGTTCACAAAGCAGGAAAAAAAGCAAGGTCTCCTGAGTCCTAGTCCAGTGCTCTACACACAAGCCTATCCTTAGTTTGGCTGCACAGGCATTTTCATTCTCAGTGGTCACTTTCAGCAGGTTATCCTTTTGCAGTTTTTACCCACTGGACTGAAGTTTGCCAGGTTAGATGTCAGTCCCAGAGTACACATTTTTGAAATCTTTGAATACAAAGGGTTCAGCCATTCTCTTACAATATAAAAAATGTTTGGCAACTTTTTTTTTTAAAAAATCACCCTTCATGCCTCAGTGGCTTGAGGTAGATGTTGGGCATTTGGCAGCGAGAGTGTCCCCAAGTCATAGATGTGCCTTTTGGTCATCTGAGGATGTTTGGCTGTGATTTGTGAAAGTTGGAAAGATTTGTAAAGAGGACAGTGCAGGCTCATGGATATTTCTATTGTGATCGCTTAATGGCTTCCTAACAGTTCTGTGCATGCATATACTAGGTAAACCAAAGGGAGTCCAGCCACCTTCCTTCTGAGGAGTGAAGGTGTATATGGGTGATGACAGAGAGCCAAAGTACTGCTGCAGCCTGACCTATGAAAGATGAGGCGGAGAAAGGTTTGCATGAAATGAGGCAAGGCTCTTCTGTGCAATATGTGCATTTTGCTGTTGTCCGGTACGTACTTAAACATAGTGGAATTTCTGTTCCTACATTTTCCCTTTAAAATATATAGGAAATGCTATACAAAAGAAATTGTGTTACAACAAAGTTACAGTTGCAAAGTAAAGTGTTATGAGCTCAAGCATGAAAAACTGAATCCACAATTGGAGCAATAAAGAAACTATTACTGGAATATTTTTACCACCATTTGGTGTGTTTTATAATTAGGTGAGTGTAGGAGAATAAATTTAAGACACATTTTATCCTCAGAAAGATGAGTTAAAAACTAAAAGTCCTCTTCTGAGTAGTAAACACAGTAGTTAAATCAGTTTGGCTGTGTTGACAAGAAAATGTTTTAATTGGCTAAAATGCTGAAATTTAAAAATCAGTTACTGGCAGGCAGTCAATTATCTTAACCTAAATTAACATAAGGTTTTTTATTATGTAGATTGTATGTATTTGCATAGCAGCTGGATTGACATAAAGTGTAACATCTCCTTTTAAGCAGTCACATTATTATATATGGGATTCATAGTCTTAAATTGAAAAGAATGTACACATTTGGAGCTATAGCAGCCTAATGTGACAACTCTCAAACTGTTATGACACTTTTAAAAAACCTATTATGGGAAGTATGTTTAAATAATATTAAAAGCACACTGCCAAGCTAATTAAGTAATCAAGTTGTTTTTCTTGTAGGTTTTCAGAATTCTTCAGACTCTTTTTTAAACTGACAAATTAAAAACAGACATTTTTTAAACAAAAAACAAATATAACATTAGGTGGCCTGTTTATAAATGTGTAATAGACATGCCACATGGGTAAGTTATTAAGATCCAGCTCTTCAAATAAATAGTAGTAGTCCTCAGGTTTAAGAGCAACCATATTAGGGGAGATTTCAGATTAACAGCCGTGTTAGTCTGTATTCGCAAAAAGAAAAGGAGTACTTGTGGCACCTTAGAGACTAACCAATTTATTTGAGCATAAGCTTTCGTGAGCTACAGCTCACTTCATCGGATGCATACTGTGGAAAATACAGAAGATCACTTTAGATAAGCTATTACCAGCAGGAGAGTGGGGTGGGGGGAGAGAAAACCTTTTGTAGTGATAAACACCCATTTTTCGATGGTCTGTGTGTATAAAAACATCTTCTGTATTTTCCACAGTATGCATCCGATGAAGTGAGCTGTAGCTCACGAAAGCTTATGCTCAAATAAATCGGTTAGTCTCTAAGGTGCCACAAGTACTCCTTTTCTTTTTGCATATTAGGGGAGAGGTGCTTTCTATGGGAAAAATCAGTAGGCCAACTTTGTGCCTGGTTGAGTGCCCTTTTATGTCTGTTGCTGGATGAACAGGTCAGATGTCCCATGCCATGCAGGATTAAGCCTGATCAGTACTTGAATGGAGATGTCCACAGATCTTGGCTTTCCCGTAGGGAGTGTTGTTGCTGAGGCACTAGATGACATCCTCACCTTTAGATTTAGTGTCCTATTTCTGAACAAACTTTGCTTTGGGCTGTTACATTCTGCCTACCTAAATTCCCCATGTAGTTTCAGTTGGCTATTGTACTCTTCATTTCATGCCATGTTCTGTAATATTACCATGTGTTCCATCCCAGGAATTTCAGCTATGGATAAATTGATTGTTTCACAATATAACACAGGCTTTAATCTCCTCTTCTTCTTTTTATAAAACAAAGAAAATGTTCTGTGTGCTTCCAGTGCTCTCAAACGGTAACAACTTGACAGCTCTGGAGACTGAAATTCACTGTATATTTACAGCAGGGTCAGCTGTAGTGGTGGCTTCTCTTCATTGGAGCCTCGTCATGCTAGCACTAGGCTCTGCATGGAACTCCTATTAGCTTCAGTGGAAGTTCTGTGCACACAGGGGTTTGCAAGATCATGTGTGGAGTTTGTAAAATGGATCCTTTGGGATTAAAAGCGCATTATCTGCCTTTGCTTTACATTTTCTTGCTGATATTGGTTTCAGTCACAACCCACCATAGTATTTCAATGCAAATATAAGCAAAGATGCTAGCACAATTATAATGAAGGGCCTGTTAATTTCTTTCTTCTTTATAACCTGATCATTAAAATTTGCTTTGGAATGAATTCTGGTATATAGTTTGAGTAGGGGAAAGGGCCCTCTTTCTCTTTATTTAATCAGTCAGAGCAACTCCTTGGTGTTTCTATAAAGGACTTGGAATTTGGATATCCGATGGTTTATGGCACAATTTGCTTATTAGGCAGAGAATTGCGTCCTTCTTCCAGCGGGATTTTTTTAGGATTCTAAAATAACAAGATACAACTTGGTGCTTTTGGTAATAATTATATACACCATATATTATATTACCAGCATGTGCAGCGCATTCTGCTCCAGGACAGCCATCCACTGTTAAGCAATATTTCAGATGGATTGGGAACTGGGGAGGTAGTGCTCGACAGCTGCGCTGGTGCTACAATTGTTACAATTTGGGGCCACTTTTATGTTCTAATATTGCAAAACATATGACATAATTTCAAAAAACTGTTCTTCTAAAAGCTCCAAACCAGCTTCAACTTAACAAATGGTGCTTTTTTAATGCTAAATTCCCATTGGCTACAGTGAGAATAGGACTGAGCTCTTGTGCTCTGGGAGCTTTACTGTTGACTTCAGTTCAGGTGTGGGAGCAAGCCCTTAATCCATAATGTTATATTGTCAACTTTGGATATGTTGTATATCAGCTGAAATACTGACATTTTTGAAAGTAGTTATGTTGAATTAGTTATTTTTATGACTGTTTCAAGCATAGGGTGTACAATTTGTGCACACAGTCTATACCACCTTACTTTTAAAAATATTAAAACTACAGTTGACTCAGGAACTGAAGAGAAAAAGTCAAATGAAAAAGAGTCCCATTCAACTACACACATGAAGGCAGACAACTAAATACTGACAGATTTTATAAGTGCTTGTATACCAATACAAGAAGTCTAAATTACTAAGATGGGTGAACTTGAGTGCCTGGTATTAAGTGAAGACATTGATATAATAGGCATCACAGAAACTTGGTGGAATGATGATAATCGACGGGACCTGGTAATAGCAGCATACAAAATATATAGGAATGACAAAGTAGGTTGTGCTAGTGAGGGAGTGGCCCTATATGTGAAAGAAAGCACAGAGACAAATATAGTAAAAATGTTGAATGACTCAAACTG